GTCCATCTTAACCTCTTCCCTGATCTTATCTGCCTTGCTGCAGTTGGTTCAGGTTTCCAGAGAAGCTGATGCCAGGCCAGGATTAGAGGTACAAGGGGTGCATGGGGGGAAATGTCCATGCAGGATGAAGATAAGGAAGCAGGAGTAGTCAGCAAATGTAGCAGTAGTTGGATCTGCAATGCAGTTCTGATTCTGGAAAAGAAAGAAGATTTCATAGGCATCTGAGATGTTCATGCAATTCGATCAGTCTGCAGGTGAATTGAAGTGGGGTCTTTGAGCTGAAGCTGGAGGAGTTCTGTGTCTCCTAGGAAAGGACTGACACTAGCGCTGCCATCCCTTGATGGTGGAAGTTGGGAAAATGAGTCCTCTGTACACACACAGCTGTGGTTCCTACAGGTAGTAGATGTGGTGGTCATTCAGTATGCTCCCCACAGGAGAGCTGAGTGATGCACTTTTCATAGCTACCCCACTCTCTCTCTCTTTTTTTTTTACACTTTTTTTTTATTGGTACCGGGAATCGAACTCATGACCGCCTGCTTGCAAGGCAGGTGCTTACAGCTCGTCACTGAAGATACAGTCTTTTTTGCAATGCTGCAGATTAAACCCAGGCCCTTATTTATACTTGGCAAGCACTCTACCAGTGAGTCATATCCCCAGCCCTAAAGATAACCTTTTTAAGCCAGAAAGCCATCTGTATTGTTATCCTTTCTCCTTAGACCTCCAACATTCACTCTTTTCTTGAAGAATAAAGCCCAAGAATTTAACATGCCGTGTCACCCAGTCTTACTTTCTTTTCCTACCACACATGTAACATTGCTTCAATATGCCCCGTACTCTCTTTCTTGGGCACTTTGCCCATATGAGTCTCTCTTTCTCACATGCCCTGCCCTTCATAGCCACCCACTGAAATCCCACTTCCCTTTAAAGTATTTCTTCAAAGAACATAATTGAAAGGAGCAGCTCCTTCCTTAAAAGTCTCATTTATTTAGGAAACATTGTTTAAAGTTATACACTGAATACTGTTAAAACTATAAAGATCAATCAGATATGGATTCTGTTAAGATTAACTTTCATAAGGAAAATTATATTGCACAAACACTATACTGAAAGGAAAATATAGTTGGGCATGGGGGCACATAGCTGTACTTAGAGGGTGATTTTGAGGCCAGCCTGGACTGTATACTGAATTCAAGGCCAGCTTGAACTATGTAGTGAGACCCATAGTGTGAACTACGTAGTGAGACCCATAGTGTGAACTACGTAGTGAGACCCATAGTGTGAACCAAACAGACAAACAAACAATGAAAGGAGAAAATGAAAGTCATAAACTAAGCAAAAAAGGTGCCTTGGAATGCAGAAGAGGGAACGATGGTCATATCTGAGGGATCCACTGGGTGAGATGGGTCTTAATGAACTAGATTTGGATAAGAGGAAATAACAGGAAGAAAGAATTCCAGATTAAAAGAATAACAAGGGCCTGCACATAAATTTCTTTAGAACAGCTTTAATAACTGGGAGTTTTCAAATTGTGCATGTATCCACTAGTGGAGTGTGAAATAAATATAGTAGTCCTCTTATCAGCACCAAAGAAGAAAATAGAAAAAGAAACGGAACCAAAGGAATAGGATGGAGAATGTTTGTGGCACATGGTGTATATTAAAGGTACCCCTTATGAAACTTTTGTTACACTGTATATACTTCCCTATATATAATAGGTCACTATGTAGATTTTTTTTTACTATGGGAAATACATGTGTCTTGTTTGGGTTTATTCAACCATGTACAGTTGAGGAGCATCTCTTATGTTCTGGCCACTTAGCAAAGTGTGTATCACCTGAAATAGTCTCTGTCCTCATAGAAATTATGATCCACTGTGGTAATTCTAAAACTTTAGTGGTATCAGAAACACCCAAAATCTTAACAAAAATCAGGTTTCCAGGTTTTACCTTCAAAGTTTCTCCTTCGCAGGTCTGGGGTGAGGTTTTGGCAATTTGCATTTCTAGCAAGTTCACAAGTAAGGGTTAAGATGATGGTAGGGGATCATGTTAGACACTGGTCTGGTGCATGTTCATGTATGATGACAAATTGGGATACTTGTTACATAGCAAAGGGAATAACTACGAGACCTATTTTATACTAGGTGACCAGGGAAGGTATGGCTAACAGGGTGACATTTAAGCATTGGGAACAGCATTGACCCAGAGTGGCAACAGTATGCTCAGAGGAACTGAAAATATACAGGATACCAGGGTCTGAAAAGAGATTTGAAAGTAGGCTGGGACCAGATCGTGTTCTGCAGAATCTCTCGTCTGGTTGTAACTGAATTGCCATGCACATCTTCCTGGGGTACGTACAGGCTTTCTGAAGGATATGCAGCCATATGTAATTTTAAGAGTCACTTCCCTTATGTATTCTTCCAAAGAGTCTTCCCAAGGAGCAGTACTAGGAGAGTGTCACTTACCTATCCTAGCTCTTTGGGAATGAAAGGCATACTTAATCCCTAGCAAGTTTCACTGGGGTGTCTTGTCCTAGGATGTAAAGTTGCTTGGGCAGAACAAGGAATAACTCAAAGTCTCAAAAAATGAATGACTCTAACCACATAATAATAATAATAATAATAATAATAATACCCACTTCATGTTGTGTAATCAGTCTCCAGTCCTTAGCTTTCTATAAAACTGAAAGCATAAAGGGTACCTTTGTGCTCACTTGGGCAGCACATGCAATCAAATTATATCTGAGGGCACCCTGAGAGCTTTATTTATTTTCTCCTTAAACTCTTATTTCTATACACTCAGCACAGAGTACAAGCAGCTTCAAAGGTTTGTTGATGATTTTGTTTCTCTGTGTACTGTAACTCTAAGCAGATAGGACTTTAAAATAAAATTTTACTCCATTACTATGTACAATTTTATGTTTCAGTTGATAAATTAAAAAAACCTTTGAGACCAGGTCTTGCTGGCCTTGCTAAGTTGCCCAGGCTGGCCTTGAACTTGCAATCCTGAGTAGTGGGATTATAGGTGTGCACCACAACACTGGGCAGAAAATAATTTTTGTGGTGGATCTTTTTATGATTTCAGTGTGTAACCAGGATAGAGATCCTAAAATTTAGTGTCATTGTTTTAACAAAAGGCCATTGTTTCCCATACTTACTTAGGCAAATAAAACAAATATTTTCTTACTGCTTACTTCCAGAAAAATAAAATTTAGGAAAGACTATAAAACTCTGACAATTTAAGTAATACCAAATAATAGACACATTAATTAGAGTAAAATATTATTGATCATTTCTAATATAATATAGTACATATTTAATGATTATAAGATTCAATATATGTTTGTTATGTTGATCAGTTATATACTTGTAATAAGTGTAGTGTAACTCCAACCAGAATAATATTTTTAGTTTCAGAACATAATGACCAGAGGAATATTAAAAATTTCTCTCCTCTCTAAAAATAATAAATAAATAAATAAACAAATAACTATAGTAGGGACATACACAGTAGGGACACATGTATATATATCAAGTATAATCATATAGAATTTCAGAGAAACATATACCAACAAGCCTTTGAAGCTGCATGTACTCTGTGCCGAGTATATAAATACAAGTTTAAGAAGAAAATGAACAATGCATTCCGAGTGCTCTCACATCCAGTTTTATATCTGTGTTGCCCAAGTGAGCACAAGGGTGCCCTCAGATACTGAGGACACCCCATGATTGGCTAAAAGACTGGAATAGAGACTGGTGGTTGTGGGGTGTCTGGGAGGAGGCGCGAATCTCAGAGAGAGTGGCAGAGGGGACAGACCAGCTGGGGCTGGAGGTCTGGGGTGTGGGAGTTGCTCTTGGTCTCAGTTCTCTTTCTACTTGAACTCTGGGAAGGCATGTCTACCTTGTTTCACTGATGTCTGTCACTCTCTGCCTGTTTCCTGTAGGCAGAGTGTAGGAGAAGGGTAACAGAAAAGGGGCGGGTGGAGACAGTCATTGCAGATGGTTAGGTTCTTAAGATAATGGTGTTTGCCTAGAGAGGAGAATGTGGGATACTGAGAAAATTAATTGCAAAAGAGAGGACATACAACCTCCCCTCCCATTTTGTACTTTTAGTGTGACGGTGGACGTGTGCAGAGGTCTGTATGTTTCTTGGTAGGAAGGAGAGACGTGGTGGAATGCGCTTCTCTCTATTGGGTCTGGCAGCGGTGCACCCATAAAGATGGGAGGATTTTTTTCTGTGGTGAAGGCGTGAATCTCAGGTGACCTGGACTGTGAGTTAGGAGGGTTGAATCCAGCTTTTGTCCAGGTTTTGTATAAATGATTAGACTCTTCATATTCCATGTCTTCATTTTAAAGGAAACCATTAAAGCAAGTGATTTGTACTTTTTCCTCTCTGGTCTAAAATGCTTGTTTATAAATTATAAAAATTGGAAATAGTTTACAAAAGTCCAGTAACTTTTGCTTTGCCTCATCATCCTAAAAGAGAAAAATAGTGGAGAAGTTTCCCATTTGTTAAAAAACAAAAGGCAAAAACAAAAAAGAAAGAAGAGAAGAAAAAAGAAGCATCTTTTCTCTTCTCTTTGAGAAACATCAAGAGTATTTTGCCCTCCAATATTTGACTGAGTAGTAGAATTTTCCATCTTAGCACAAAGTGGCTCGCCCTGGTTTCAACTAATCCACTCTCTGTCTTCCCCTGATTTACAAGAGGAACTGGAAGAGTCAGACAGTGTGTGGGAAGACTGCAGAAAATAAGGAAGGTATAGAAACCGCGAGAGATGGAGATAAGTTAAACATTCTGGCACACTGTCACGGTGTATTGCTCATGCTGAATGGTTAGGCAGTTGGGAAGGTAGTACGCGAATGTCTTTAAATGCTTCCTCTAATTGCAAGCAGCTGTCGATTAGTGGAGCTTGACCAAATGTTTTTAATTCACTCAGTGGTGATGAAGAGAATGAGACTTTTAAGGGAAACTGGCAGGGGCTGTGAGCCAGCATGGAGTTGCTTACACTGTTTTCAGAGGTCACAGAGTGCACCGACTACTAAAAGACACTCTCTGAATCTATTGCAGGCTTGCATGATAATGATTTTCCTAAATTTTACCAGCGTTTGTTGAGCCTTTGGCGGGAGGCAAGCCTCTGCACAATCCATATTCTGGAATGATTTGGGGGATGATTCACCCTCCAGCTTCTACTGACTGAACGCCTCCTGCCAGTTGAGGAGCAGTTCAATGAGAGCAGTAAGTCTAGAACAAGAGAGGACAACACCGTTGAGAGTCTTCTTAGAAATATTTCATTTTATTTTTTAAAAATTAAACAGTAGGAAAAAATGAAGCCATTGTAATCAGTTTCCTGTAAATGTAAATTACAAATTGTCTGAGTTTGAGAGTTTTTTGGAAGATAAAGTTTTAAGTAACCAGTTTCATCGTCCAGTATTACCTTAATATACTCTTTATTTTTATATTGCTTACAAGTCTAGTAATCTTTCCTGTGTATTTTTCTTTCTTGTTATACTTTTAAAATGTAATTTTATTGTTTCTGCATAGCTAACTTAGGAAACCATGAAGGTGGCTGAAAATAAGACTCGTGTAACCACGGAGGGCTTGTAGTTTTAAGGATATCTAACAGGGTTGAAAATCTGTAAAAGAAGACATCATGAGACACTCTCAGGGATAAAGAGGCTAGACTTCTTCAACACTAGCTCTACCCATTTTAGGTCCTGAGTTTCAGTGCCCCAAAACAGAAAGTAAATTTCCTATGCACTGTACATGTGCAAGGGCTTATCTTCAAGAATCTTTTTCTTAGCATTGTTGATTGTTCTAAACATTTACAATTTCAGTTAGCTAAAAAGTTTATGATGTTTGTGTGGTAAAATATTATGTAGAAAAGATGTTATGAAGAATATATAAATGACATGGGAAAATGATCAACAAAGAAGCGTTAAATGAGAATAAAAATCATTTTAAAGGAGATATCTACCTACTTATCTAGAGCTTATATACTTCAAGTAGTGTGTTTGTGAAAATAAAGTTAAAGCACAAAAAGAAAATAATAGTGATGGGATTATAGGTGACATATATTAATTATCCATTTAGAAAAAAAACCATTTTACGATAAATTTCCCAACATGTCCGTTTTTCTATCATAAAGCATTTGATTCCTTGTCAAGATGAAGCTAAAGAGATTCATGTCCAGCGAAAGAGAAAAAAATCCAGAGAGACATCACTCAATAAACACCTAATTTTGTTTCTGATCTTGTGCTTGTTTGAAGCCCTCACACTTGTTTGACTCAGCTAGATAAGTCAGCTCCGCTGAAACAGTCATAATTTCCACCAGCTGTTTTGGATGTTTGAGGTTGTGTTTTTGTTTTAGTGAGCCTCACTGCCTATCCCTTGAGCTAGTGTATGAACAATTGTAAAGGAAGTCTTTGAGGCAGACTCAGAGGAGAGCTGTTAATCTCATGACATCCACAAGGATTTGAAAAGGCTGCTCCATCTGTGCTGTTCCTGTTTTTCTTCCAGGGCAGGTCCTTGATGTCAGGAAGATGGACCATTCTCAGCTCCACTTGCTGATGGGGAGTCTGGCCACAGCTTGGTTTCTTAAGTCTGAAAGACTCATCAGGCAGCCACAGCACAAAGATGTGAGTGATAAACCTGAGTCGGGCACCACTTCCAAACCCTATTTGGGTTCTGTTTCCCACTAGTTCAGTGTTTGGGAATACTCTGGCAGGAAGCTATTTATCATTGACAGCCACCGAAGAGGGCTGCTGTTGTCTTTGCCCAAGACTTCTGGAACTTTCCTTAAAAGCCAGGGGGTTCTCATCGCATGATGTGGCAGAATTTCTGGAAACTGATTTGGGGAAGAGGAAGCTGACTTATGTGGGAGTCACCATCTCAGCTGTCGCTCTCTGTGCCCTTCCCCCAGAACGCTTTTTCATGAAAACAAAAGTGGTAAGACTTCAGATGTGAGCTGGAAAGGATTATTTAGTTAAAAGTGTTCTAGAGTTGAGTGGAGGTTTTACCTGACTTGAGAGAGTTGCTACTTGTTTTAATTTAGTGTTAACTGCTTATGGACTTTGCTCTCTATTCTTTCCCTTTAAATTTTTATTCTATTTGATTTTTTTTTTTTTTTTGCGGTACCAGGGATCGAACTCCCGACCTCATGCTTGCTGCTGTAAGAGCCTAGTACGTATATCTAGGGAGCTCACACAGCAAGTGAAGGAGGTTGGGGAGGTACAGCGCTATGTGCTACACTAAAGTGACTGGTTAGGAAAAACACCTCCCTAGAACTCCAGAGGGAATGGTGAACTGGTCAACTCAGTAGGTCAGAGCGCCAGAGCAGTGGTGGTGAACCCATGGCACATGTGCCACAGAAGGCCGTTTGTGTTATCACTGAAGTTCTACAAGGTTCATCATCACTGAAGAGAAACCACTAGAACAGTGGGTTACTCAGGCATCCTAGACTCTAGTAATGCATGCTTTGTTGAAAGAAGTTCTATTTTATGTCAGTCAAGACTTTCAGCAGCAAGTGGAAAAAAACTGAACTCAAGTTTAGGGTTTTCTAACTTCTGGCTCTTCTGGATCCAGAAGACATTGTCAGGAATAAAGCTCTCATTTCTTGGCAGAGTTTTCTTCAATATCCATGCTGTTTTCTGACACACTCTTCTCTTTGGCACCAGTAGCCAGCAGAAGCCCCAGATTTACATCTTTCTGTTTTGGTGACCCCAGAGGAAGGGGAGGGCCCCTGTCCCAACAGTTTTATAGTCATTGAGGGTGGATTCTAGACCTATGAACCAATCATTGTGGGCTGGGTGTGGAGCATGCTTATTGGACGGATCTAAATTTTGGGTCCTCCATTGTGCTTCTGGTATAAAGTCTATCTCACCCAAATCATAAGAACTGAGAATTAAAAATTGGTGAAGATGAGGAGATAGTTTCAGAAGAATGAATGCTGGGTAGAGTCTTCCACCACAAGGCTCCTGATGTCTTTTTCCTGCAGAGTTGTTTTAATTTAGGTATTACTAAGCTTGACAGCTCTGATGGATGATTCTGGTAATCTTTAACCTCAACACAGAAAAAGTTGGATTTCTGATTTTTTAAAAGACATTTCTTGTCTTGCAGAGGCTCTTTAATCGTCACACGTTTCTTCTCTCCTTGTCCAGCAAGGAGCCCTTCCTCTCCAGGATTTCAAAGAGGTGCCCCTTTTCCCCCAGTGCATTGGGAGTCTGCTGCTCTTAGGTTTGTATGAGTAAGGCAGGTGACTCAAATGTTTGGGCAGAAGTTTTTAAGATTGTGGTGCCAGTATCAGCAGTAGAAGCAGCAGCATCTGGAAAATCATTAGAAATTCAAATTCCACTGCCACAGCCCACACCTAAAGAACTAGAAATGATGAGGGTGAAGCATAGACATCTGAGATTTCACAAGCCCTCCAGATGATCCTGATATTTATGTGCTCAAGTTTTGAACACATTGAGGGAGTGGTCCAAGACAATCTATTCTGAGAAGACTGAGTCCACCTAGACTTTTCTAGTTTGTATTCTTGCTCCCAGGCCATGTTCCAGACACCAAAGGAAAGATTCATTAATTGTTGATTCTTACTGGGAGTGAAGAGATTACTTGGTGCTTGAAGAACTTTGCATTGAGCTGCAGCTAAGTATCTCTCAGGCAAATGACTGTTCCTGGAGATGCATCAGCTGTCAGGATCATCTTAGATGAAGGACCTCTGGACATCTTTCTTTATTTTCTCAGGATTTGTTATTTGACGTGGATCTGTTGATCAGAGATCACTCATATAATCACTTATCTATTCAGCATATAACAATATGGGGCTGGGTTCCAGAGGTAAAATAACCCTTAAAATAGACATCTTTTCTGCCTTCCTGGAATTCCAGGTCTGGTGATGGAAGATGAAGACTTTAAATAAGTATCAATGGCAGAGTGTAGTCCTTTGGGGTGAAGGGAAATATAGAATACTTAGACAGTTCGCTGTGGGAGGCTGGCTAACCCACACTGGGCTGAGTAGGGAAGGCTCGTCAGTGAAAGAATTGTCTAAACTTGGACCTGGAGGTTGAACAGTCATTGTTGGCATAAGAACTAAGAGTATTCCAGGCAGTGGTTTTAAAAGCCATGTCCTAGGAAAAATAGTAACCCAAAGAAGAGTTTTAGGCAGAGGAAGTAAGATGATAAGATTTATTTATAGTGAGTGCTTGAGAATAGTTTGGAAATAAAGTAAGGAAGAGGGCGCAGGAAGACAAGTCTGCAATCTATTGTAATGAAAGAGGGCTACGCCCTTGGCTGGGATAGTGGAAATGGGATTGGAGAGCAGTGGATGAGTTTGGGACACTAACTCAAGAGGACTCAAAAGAGGGCTTTTTGGTAGCCAACTTGGGAACACAAACGAACGAAGTGAGTTCACTGATGTGAAACATTGGAGAGGTGTGAATCTCCACGGAAGAAGTCACAAGTTCAGTTTCCAACAAGTTGGATGAGTGCAGCGTAAGAGGGGACGGCTGGCATGCAGTTGCCATCAACACCTGAGCTCAGACAGGTTCCCCGGACAGAGTATTTGACTGTCACCATCACATGAATGTCATTGAGGCCAAACAAGGAGATGAGACCACCGAGGGAGAATGTTTGAGAGGAGCACTTAGAGTCCAGAGGAACTCCGGTATTAAGAAACAGGCAGAGGAAGACAACCCTACAAAAGCAACTGATGGACACAGGGGGAAAATCAGCACATGGAATTGGTGGATATGACGGAGATCAGGAAAAGCAAACTTCAAACTTTTCTGAAAGTGTCTGATAGTAATAGTTGCAGTGCTGTTCCTGACCGAGATCAACTCAGGTCACTTCTGGGAAATTCAAGTAATCGACAGCCTCTGTCATGATTTCAAACAGGCTCACTCACAGAAACTCTTTTCAGGAAACACTGTTTTCCTGCAATTACATGGCCCATGCTGAGTCATAGTTTACTGCAGAAGACCCCCATCCCACACTTTCAACTTGCTGTCTCTTTCTGAGTGAAACCCATGAATTTGTTACGCGTTTCCCTCTCTTCTTCTCTCTGTCTCATTCCTCTTTCATGTCCCTGTATTTCACTGTGCTACTTTGGTGCCCTGAGTGCTTTCAGATGGTTGGCCAAGGACAGGTGTGTACTTTTCAATTGCAAGTTACCCAAATGTTGTGGTGGTAGTAAGACTTCTTCAGTACCAGCTGTGATGCTGTTCTGTGGTCAGCCTCCCTCAGCAGCCTGTGTCGGCTTCCTGGCCTGAGCTAGTGTTTTTCTACTTCTTTTTTCTTTCTCTCTCTATAGCTGGACGCTAGGGAGTTATTTTGGCCAGAATTAGATATGCACAGCTGATACTTACAGCTGCACATTCTTTGGTTCCTTTTGCCTCTACAAAAACTCTTGCTGTTCTGACACTTTATTCACACAAAAAGCAGTAGGGTCGCCCACCTAGATATTGTTTAAAAGCATTCATAAGCGTTTCACAATTTCTGGGATAATCCTATCAGTTGAATTGAGTAGGAGGAATAGCCCAAAATATATTGAAAGCTAAAATGAAGATCGGTACTCCTATAATTTATATTTTATTTTTTGATTATTTTATTTCTTAATTATTTTGTTATCAACAAGGTGACTGTGGCATGGTAGAACTAATTATGTAGTTCACTGCATGAAAACATGCAGTATATTTAAAAAATTTTTTATCCCGAGAATACCATAAAAGTTAAAGATCTGATATATAGAATCTAACATGACACAGACCATAGACCTGAATGTATTCATGGCTTTAGGTGTCACCTTGAGGGTACCAATTTCCAAATTCACTTCTCTGGGACTATCTTCTCTTGCACAATTTAACCCAAGGTCTCCAACAACCCACTGGTTCTTTTTACCTACATTTACAGCTAGTACTATCTTGAATTCCTTAGATACCATCGAGCTCGTTTTTTCTCTTCTCTAAGCACACTGCCTTTCCTGCTTTTGCTGATCCTGTCGACCACCTGCTCAAGTTGTTCAGTCTTTGACCCCTCTTTCACCACTTTCTTGATACCCAGCCTGCTGCCTGTCTACCTGGTCATGCCTCCAAATCATCTCTGCCCATCTCTCCTTCCCATTATGACCAGAGTAGCCTACATCTAAACGCTTTTATTGCTATGGTATTGCAAACATTTCCCAAGTGCTAACATTGTTCCTTGTATTTATTCTCCCTTGAATCTGTCACATAAAGGGATAGTAAATTAATCTTCTGAAACACCACATTTCATCAAAACTATTTTAAAAATACTCAATAGCTTCCTATTAGCTTCAGCATGAGTCCAACATCCTTCCTAAAGTCTCTGAGGTCCTTGTACAATCTTTCAGCTACCTCCTGGGGTAAGTTAGTTCAGACACTCATTTTCGCTTTGCTTTTAGTTTGTAGAAATAATTTCAAGTTTCTGAATATGCTTATTATCGAGTTCAATTTTGTGTGAGTCACATGTTTTCTTTTTATATACTCTATTTATTTTTGTGAAGCTGAGGATGGAACCCAGGGTTTTGTGCATGCTAGGCAAGTACTCTACCACTGAGCTATATCCCCAGCTCCTTGGCTGTAGTTAAATACCATTAAATATAATGGAATAAGGATACAAAGAT